GGGCGCCGGGTTCGCGGCTCTCGCCGGCGAGCCTCCCGGTGCGGCGCCTCTCCGCCCGCAGCTCCTCGCGCGCTCGCACGAGCGTGTCCTGCGCCCGCGCTCGCCGCGGGGCACGCGTCCGCCCCAGCTGCCCCGGCGACCCCGGCTCTCCCCCGGACGCCTTCCCCCCAGTGGGTGAGTGCGCGGCTCCAGGAGACTGAGGCGGGGCAGCTGGCACAGAAGCGCCCGGCCGTGTCCACCCCGCACCCGAGGCCGGCCGGCCGGCCGAGCCGTGTGCTCCGGGAGCGCGGGGCAGCCCGGGCGGGATACGCTGGGCCGGGCTCCGAGTGTGCCTTGGCTCAATGACCGTGGACTTGTCCGCCTTGGACCTTTCGGGAGGCGAGTGGGATTTCTGCAACACGGGCAGCCTCCCAATCCTCCCCTGTGAAGGGGCCCGGCTGTGCTAGGAGAAGCCTGGGCCCGACTCTCAGCGCAGGATCCCTCAATTACCCAGAGCGGCCGTGGCCTGCCCCACCCCAAAGCCCTCTTCCTTCCACTGGGTGGGAGGTGGGGGGTTAGGAGCCCACTGTGCATGTGCGTGGCCCGTGTGTCGCTGGTTTTCCCCTGGGTCTTCATGCTAGCTTGAATCACCACCGTAATCTTCCCAGACTGGTGGCTCCCAGAGACAGCCTGCAGACATCTCTCATGGCTGTGCCCCAGGTGAGCAGGCTGGTGCCACCAGACCCTCTGGGGGTGGCCCCTGACTGGGAGGGGGGCTGGGTGAGAATGTGGCGAGCAGGGGGAAATGCCTTGGCTTCCCCCTCCACCAGGCCCCTCCCACCTGTACTTTGTCTGCACCCACCTGACCCCCGTGCGGCTGGCACCGTAGGTGACCTTCAAGGACGTGGTTATACGCTTCTCCAGGGAGGAATGGGCGTATCTGGACGCAGCCCAGCGCGCCCTCTACCGAGATGTGATGCTGGAGAACTTCAGGACCCTGGAAGCACTGGGTGAGGACCAAGGTGGCCTGGGCCTCTGTGTGCCTGGTCCGGGCTGTCAGGGGAGCCCCTGTCTCAGGGCAGTTGTCTGTCCCACTCACCTGGGGGCTACCACCTCCTAGAACCACGCCCTCGCTATCTGAGCGCTTTCTCCCCACCATCCGTGGCCAGTTTGCTGCAGGCTCCTGACAGCGACTCCCTTCTTCCCTTCTGCCATCTCTGCCTTGGGGTCTTCTCCAGGGGACCCCAAGCGGGCCTGGACTCTGGACATTTACCCTCTGCCACCTGAAGGTGGTTCGAGCCCCTTACCGGCCTTCTGCCTGTGGGACTGACATGGCTTGCTTGTTTGTTCCCCTGGACAAGGCTTCTGTAGGCGGCGGCCACACCTCGTCTTGTGTCTGGAGCTCTGGGCAGAGCCGTGGGCAGAGGCAGAGAAGTGCGCAGGTAAGCAGAGATGCGCAGGTGAGTCCCGTCTGGACTACTTGCTGCTCAGCAGGGGCCTTGGGGGACACAGGGAGCAGCCCACCTGTGGGGGACAGGGGTGTGTGATTTACCCTTCAGAGCCCCTGTGGGGGGTGCTGTGTGATCAAACTGCCCCCTGGCACAGGCACAGCCCAGCTGGCCCTGGCTGGGCGTCCCCGTGGTTCTGGGATCCGTGGGCCTCTACTGCCAGGGTGAGGCCGGTGGCCAGCGCTGCCCCCAGCACTAGCTACAGATGGCATCGTTCTTCAAGTCAGTCACCCTGCCCAGGGAGGGAGGCGCTGCCGGAATCCCCAGGGGCCTGGTGGTACAGTGGTTAAGCACTGGGCCGGGAGCCCACAGGCTGATGGGCGGAGAGTGGGCGGAAACAGGCTGCTTGCTCTGGGGTCGCACTGCGCAGAGGTCACAGCAGCGGGGTGGGGATGGGGTTGTGCAGGTGGGCAGGTCCCTTCCCCAGGGCTGTGTGGCCGCGCCTGGAGGACCGTGGGGTGGGCATTTGCAGTATGAGATCCCGTGCCTGGGCAGGGGCCGGCTCACCGTGGCACAGGCTGTGGAGGAGTGGGGAGTACTGGTTGTCCCACCCCTGAGATGGGACGCGAGGGCCCCAGTGGGAACAAGACAAATCAGGGTGACGGGGCTGGGAATCCCCAGTTTGTGAGAAGCCTGGGTCTGGGCTCCAGCAGAGCCCGCTCCTGCCATACATTTGCCCAGTGCTGGTCCAGGCACCCGAGCCAGGCCTTGCTGGGAGCCCCGTGGCACTGGGATCCCAAGCGTGGAACCAACCCATCTATCCCCAGAGGGTGCCCGGACCCCGGAGGCGGCCCTGCTCTGTGAGCCAGAGTCACACTGGGGCTGTCTGCACTCCAGGCCATGTTGGTAACCCTCTCAGCCTTGAGCCCATGCCCGCACCTGGGCACGCCCCAGCCTTCCTGAGCTGCCCCCTCGGGGCCAGGCACCTGCTATGTTCATCCCAGCCCACTTGTGGGGCAGTGCTCACTGTCCTGCGCCAGGGGTCCTAGAGGGATACTCCCAAAGTGGACCAGAGCAAGGTGGGCGCAGCCTGGAGCTCCTCCTCCCCTTGGCATGGTTGTCCTGGTGTCGCCGGCAGCACACCTGCTCTTTCCAGCAGGGACCGGGACCCTTCACCACCAGGCGAGATGCCTCCGCCAGCCGCCGTCTACTGCCAGGAGTGGCCCTGCACTGGCAGGAGTCAGCAAGGCGGCCGCAGGTGGGACAGGCGAGGTTCTGAGCCTGGGCCCTGGGCAGCCGCAGGGGAGCGGTGCAGGCAAGCCTACGTACATTTGTGACACTTGTGGGAAGGTGCTGAGCAGCCTTGGCCAGCTCGCCACCCATGAGACGGTGCACACAGGTGCCAAGTCTCTGGAGTGCCGCGTGTGTGGCCAGGCCTTCCGCTGGACGTCCAACCTGCTGCGGCACCAGCAGAACCACACGGACTACAAGCCCTTCCGCTGCGAGCAGTGTGGCCTGGCTTTCCGCCTGCAGGGCCGCCTGACGCAGCACCGCAAGGTGCACTCGGAGCTGCGGCCCTACCTCTGCGGCGCCTGCGGCCAGGCCTTCAAGCAGCGCTCCAACCTGCTGCGCCACCAGCTGGTGCACAGCGGCAAGCGGCCCTTTGCCTGCGGCGTCTGTGGCCAGGCCTTCCGCACCAAGGAGGGCCTGGTGCAGCACGGCCGGCTGCACAGCGGTGAAAAGCCCTACACGTGTGCCGAGTGCGGCAAGGCCTACCGCTTCGCCAAGGGCTTCAGCATCCATCAGCGGCTGCACCGTGCTCCACGCCACTTCCCCTGCACCCTCTGCGGGAAGGCCTTCCGCCACCTCGGCTTCTTCATGCGCCACCAGAGGACCCACGGGGCCCCAGAGGACCCTGGGGCAGCATTTCCTTCTGGTGGTGGAAGTCCGGCCATTGGTGTGGGCAGGACGGCAGGACTGGGTGGGAGTGGGCAGAAATTGAACAGCGAGTCGGAGACCACCGAGCCCAGTGCAGCTGTGGGGCACAGCGGCCACCAGCGTTACTGGTGACGTGATGGGCGAGCTGTGGGCCGCGGGGCTGCAAATGTGCCCCTGCCTGCAGGCGGTTCTGGGCGTTGGTGTGTGGGATGAGATGGGAGTGAGCAAGAAGCCTTCTGTGGTGGTAGATGACGTTTTTGGGATTTGTGGTGATAAAATCCTAATAAAAAGGAGAAAGCCCAGGGAGAACAGTGTGGCTCCTGGCTGGAGCAAGGTGGGCTGTATTTGAAAGTGCCCCCGGTTATTTCTCGGCTCCGTGACACAGTTCCCGTGAACGTGCAGGCTGTGGAGGAAGGTCACGAGGGGGTGGAGGGCAGGGAGCGCCTCAGTACTGTTGAGAGCAGCACTGAGGCCTCCTGGAGGTGCCTACTGCTACGGTGGGTGGCAGGGCGCAGGGGAGACGGCCGCTCTTGGGCAGTGTGTAGCAGCAGTGGTCCCAAGTGTCTGCCAAGCACCCCAGTGGGCTTACAGTGAACTCCGCATGGCCCGTCGCTAAGTCAGCACCAGCCCTAATGGCCAGTCCATGCCACAGGGTAGGCTCCGATTCCCCACGGCCTACAGGACAGAGCTCCCCAGGGGGTTCCAACGGAAGCAGAGGGCCTCATCTTTCTCCCAAGACAGCTGTTGGCTTTGAACCGCCCACCTTTTGCTTAGGGACCCAGCCTTAGACTTCAAAAGCGGAAGTGGGGTCAGCCATGTGAGTGGGGGACTGGTGGCCACCCTGCCCTTCCTGCACAGTAGCCCCATCCAAGACCCTCGTGCAGACGCAGGTCCTTGGAGTCAGGCAGCACTGCTGTGAAGGGAGGCTGCAGACAGACCCTGGCCACGTAGGAGTTTGCTGTCATGCGAAGTCCCGCCCTCAGGTCACCACAGAAGAGGACAGGAGTGTGCTGCCCATCCAAGTGACAAAACTCGAATGGGTATGTGTGGGTGTTCAGGTGAAAGTAATTGAAAGAAAAGTAATCCCGACACCGGCAATTGATGCCGCTGGACTCTGGTGAGGAGAGCTGGTCAGACTGGGCTTTTCAGACAAGCCCGTCTCTGATCCTGTGGAGATACCACCTCATCAGCAAGACTTCCTGTCCCTTGGGACAGGCTCCTGTGGGGTGGGAGGAGGCTGGATCCTGGAACTGGGTTAAATGAGTTCATCCGGGTCTGGCTACGGAGCCCTGGAGGCAGAAGAGGTTAAGCTTTGGGCCACTAACCTACCACAGTGGTTGAAGCCCACCAGCCACTCCACAGGAGAAAGGTGAGGCGCTCTGTTCTGGTAAATACCCAACCATGAGCCAGGAACACCCACAGACTGACTAGCACCCACCCGAGCTCATTGCCCGAGTTGACAGACGACAGAACAGGCCAGAAAGCCTTTGGCCTGAGCAACAGCTGGTAGACTTGGACTGCTGACTGGGGTTGGCAGCCGACTGCACGGTCACTGAGCAGGGCTCCTCAAGGGCAGCAGCCTAGTCTGTCACCCATCATTGCTTCCCTGCAACTGGGGTTCCCCGCACCCACCAGGGGCGGCTCACAGAGGGGCAGACGTGTGTATGCCAAATCCTGGAACGGTGGTTCTCAACCTTCCTGATGCTGCGACCCCCCCCATCCATAAAATTACTTTTGTTCCTACTTCATAACTGTCATTTTGCTACTGTTAGGAATTGGGCGACCCCTGGGAAAGGGTCGCTTGACTCCCAAAGGGGTCAAGACCCACAGGTTGAGAACCGCTGACCTTGAAGAAGGCGATTGCATGGCAGTCTGCTGGCAGATGGGGGGGTGGCTCGACGACAGGATGGGACACTTCTGTCTGCCCCGAGTTTGCTGTGCTGTCCTTGGTGCGTCATCAATGTCCCCGGCTCCTCGGTGCTCCGGGTGTCAGCTTTCTGGCCAGTCCCCAGTACGGCTGCACCTTGCTCCTGCGGGCCTTGCCTTCCTGCCCTGCGCTGAGAGCCACCTTGCTTCCAGCACACAACGTCGGGGGCACTTGAGTGTCTCAGATGACACACACGGGACATTCCATGATGTGAGTGCCTGGGTGGGAGGGCTGCTCCCCCAAGTGTCCAGCAGTCCCTAGGACCAGCACCTTACTCTCCCTGGCCTCCCTCTGCCCCATCAGCTGCCAAGGCCTCTCCAGCCAGGCCCAGGCCACATTGAGAAATCCAGCTACCCCAAATGCAAGTGTCCCCTCGGTCAGCTTTCTCCTTGGCCAAAGTGACCTATCCCACTGCCCCTGGGATGGAGCCCCTAAGTCCTCGGACAGTGGTTAGTGAAGGTGCCACACCTATCGCTAAGTTGGGGAGGCTGAGCCTGAGGCAGCGCCGTGCAGTTCCCAACAAACGCTAGATGGTTCAGAAGAAACCCCACTCTTGGACAACACACAGGCCCAACACGAGCTTCTGGAAAATCTACATTAAGTGTGCTAGTTTTGTAACTTCCCCAAATTGGAAATTAGAACACAATCCATTTGCAGTCCAGGGGACATGAGAGGCTTCAAAAAGCAGGTGCCGAACCGTGATTTTTGAATTCAGTGTTTTCAGGGGGCCCCTCCTAGCGGGCTAACCTACATTTCTACCCTCTAGGGTTTCATGGTAAACTGTCACCCCACTCAGGGTATGCTGCATTTGGTTGGTCTGTGTAACTGCACGAATTTGGAAAAAAGGACCTCACCCACCTGCCCCAGGACACACACCACAGGTATCACATTAATTGTATCCAATTTCCTAGTATCCAAAAAAATGTTTCATTTCACCCAAAGTGGGAAACACCTGGTTTCAATGAAGACATATTTAAGGCAGAAAGTAATCTGGCCTTAAAGGATTCAAGTGAGAACTTCAAGATTCACCCTTTTAACCGTGGCACCTTCCAGGAGGTCCTCTGTGAGCACCCGGACTCGAGAGCCGCCTCATCCTTCTGCTGCCTGCCTGCCGTGTCCCAGCTCCTGTCCTTACCACCATTTCTGGAGACCACCCAAACCAGAAATTCCTTGGGGGGAGGGGCGGTACTTGGCGTGTGTTAGTTGCTGAGAATCCGGGTCAACAATCGGCTCGGGGATAGAGAAATCTCGCAGCTTCGAGATGGAAAATTCGAGGGTGCGGCCCCCTCGGGGCAGAAATGCAGCGACGCAGACTGGTGTCCAGGCCATGGGCTAGGCTTTTATGAACAACAGCCCTTCGGCGACAGGTGTCCTGGGCTCCCCACCCCACCACACTGGCCTTTCCCTGGCTCAGGTCCTCCCTAAAGTGTCGTCCGAGCCCGGGTGGCTGTTCAAGGGCTCCTTCGAAGCCCGAGAGCGCGGAGCCCGAGCTGGGAGGAAATCCGCAGTAGACTGGAAGTGGGACTCTGCCCGGCTGCCTTTCCGAGAGGCCGAGCCAGACATGACCCAGGGAGAGATCCTTGCGCTCTCCTGGGACGGCACCAAGGGCGGAGTCCAAGAGCCCGTGGACTGGGCCTGTGAGCCTGCGGGTGACGGGATCTGGGAGACATCCTGGGCCTGGGCCAGGTCCTGGGAATCCACCTGCAAAGGGGTCACGGAGGGAGACTGCGGGACCAGGCGCCCCTTGCCTGTGCAGGATGCCAGGGAGCTGGGCTGGGATTTGGCAGGCGGCGGCTGCCAGAGCGGCGGGCCTCCAGGACCTCGGCGCAGCCACCCATGCACACGCGCCAGATCCCGTGTGTCCACGTGCTCGCGCTGCAGCTGCTGGCGCTGCTCCTGTAGCTTGCGCCGCGTGTCCTGCAGTACCTGGGCTCGACGGAGCAACCGCAGTAACTCCTGCCGCAGCCGCCCGTTGTCCGCCTTGATAGCCTGTGTGTGCACGATGAGCGAGCGCGCCGCCTCCCGCTCCGCACGCCGCGCCAGGGTCTGCACACACTGGCGCGCCTCGCGCTCGAAGGTCGCCTTGTTGTCCAGGAAGCGCCGCTTCACGCGGTGCAGCAGCTGCGTGTGTTCCACGCGCATGTGGAGGAGCTCGCGCTCCAGAGTCCGGATCCGTGCCAGCTGCTCCAGCTGCAGCTCCTAGGGCGAGGGGGGTTGGCGAGGTGTGAGTGGAGACCAGGGGGTCGGTGGGGGGGGGCGGGGCGGGGAAAGTCCCCCCCCCCTCCGTCCCGGGCGCGCACGCTGACCTTGTAGGGCTGCAGCTCCTGCACCTGGCGCGCCATCTGCGCTGCGCGCGCCTCCATCTCCAGCAGCTGCGAGCGTACACCCTCCTCGCGGCCCTGGTAGAGTGAGGCCAGCTCGGCCCGCTGCCAGTGGATCTGCGCCAGCTCCATTCGGTTCTGGTCGTCCAGCCGCACCACAGCGTTGGCGCAGCGCTGCGCGCGCGCGTTCACGTAGCTGGCGTAGAACCGGTTTTCCTCGCGCAGGCGCAACGCCTCGCGGTCTAGGAAGGCGTTCTCCTGCAGCACGTGGTCCAGGCGCTCGCCGCAGTCCTCCAGCTCCTGGGTCAGCAGCGTGTACTCGCGCTGGAGGTACAGCGCGCGCTCCGACAGCGGCTCCTCGCTCGTGCCCGGTCGCCGGCCTGCGCTCGGCCCGCGCTTCTTCTTGGGCGCCATCGCCTGGGGCCTGGGGCACAGGCGCCCGTGAAGGGACCGCCCCCACGCCGCCGCCCCGGTTCAGCCGCCTTCCCTGCCCCCGTCCGCTCGCAGTCGGCGGGGCGGGCCCAGGGCTGGGAGAGTTGGGAGAGGTCGGGGCGCAAACCTTTAAGCGCTGGCTCCTGTGGACCTTGGCCGTCGTCAAGGCACGGCTAAAGTTAGTAATGTTGATGTCTGGCGCCACAGTCGCTATGGACACGAAGCTTACGTGCCCTCCCCCACTGTTACCTGGGTAACGGCTAGACTCATCTTGTCTCCCCACCCCTCCCCCAAGCCGGTGCTTCTCTGCCCTAGTGTCTGCGCCCAGGCCCGTAGAGGAGGGGGAGGGCCTGCGCGCGGAAGGACTTCTCCTGGAGGAAGCAGGGCCATATTCCTGTCCTGACAGCCCACTGCTGCAGGCTAGGCTGCAGTCCCCCACTCTCGGCGTGCCTGATCGTGCTGGACAGACTGCACCCCTGTACTATGCCCCGCCTTCCCAGCCCTAGGCAGTGGCTTCCACTGTGGACCTCAAGACCTTCTGCCCTGCTGGTGGCCACTGAGCTCACTTCAGTCGGGAAACTTAGGCTGCCAAAGATGCGCACCCCTGCCCCGCCCACCCCACCTGCCCACGAATGATTCGGGCGAGGGACTGGGCCACCGAGGCTTTTAACGTGGCCACATTCCAGCCTCCATCCCCTCCGCGGCGTCTCCTGGACTTAAAGCTTGTCAATACCGCCTGCCAGAGGGTCCCCAGCGGCTCATCCTCTGCCACCAGCCTGGCTGCTTCTCCAGCAAGCCAGCGGGGGGCCCCTCTCTTGTATCCCTGACACTGAAACCTCTGGTTCCGCCCCCCTGATCTAGCCCCGCCTTCACACTCAGACCAGACCCCTCAACCTCTGCCACAGTTAGGGCCACTTCCAGGCTGCCCTCTTAGCTCCAGGACCTTGGCCTCTGAATGGTGATTAGGGGCAGATGGAGTTAGCCACCCCCACCGACCAGCCTACTGTGCCTGGAGCAACCTTGAGGGAGGCTATCTGTGGAGGGGGGAGTAGTTTCCCTGAGGGACAGCACTCACCTGGCAGCTGGCCTTGCCCCTGGGGACTTCCTCCTCACTGGTCTCTGGCTCCCTGGGGTTCCCCAGTAACCTGGCCACCCTTAGACACAGGCTGAGAGCACAGGGGTGGGGTTGGGGTCACTCACCGCTTGGCGGAGTTGCTAGGCTGGAAAAAGACTGCAGGGAAGGGCTGCTACTGTCTGCTCGGCCAGCCACCCTGGCCCCCAGCTGGCCCCTGACCCCCAGCCAGTCCCCAGCTGGCTGTCTTGGGGCCCTTGTGACACACAGAATCCATAGGGTACCTACCACCACCAGGATCAGGTGTGATCTCAGGGATTAGAGCCCTGCCCAGTGCCCAAAGGGGCCCTGGCAGATGTCCCCAAGCCCCCCTGCAAGCACCTTGCCCTTGATCAAAAGCACGGTGCTGGTGCTGACAGTGAAGGGGATGGGACACTTTACTGTCGCTGGGCCCTGAGCTGCAGGTGTGTTGCCCCCACCCCACCTGGGGAGGGCATTCATGCAAGGACCCTGCCCCATGTGCCCCCAACCCCTCCCCTCCGGTTCTGTGCCAGAGCCACACCAGGGCAGCCCCAGGTAAAGCCCAGCCCCAGACCACAGTGTGGGTCAGATCCTGAAGCCACAGCTTTCCCCAGAGGAACCGCCCCAGACACCCACACAGATGTGCACACACACACACACACACACAGCGAGCGGAGGGCCACGCACACCCCACCCTGGCCCAGCAGGTGTCCATGCGGTGCCGCAGCTGTGAGGTAACCTGAGGCTTGGTGTGCCCTCTGGAGGTCCAGGACCTGCAGGCTGGGGCTCCATCATCTCCCTTGAAGGGCTGGGGACCCATTGACGTGCGGGAGACTCACCTACCTTTGTTAGTGAGGGACAGAACACCCAACAGGAAGGTGTCCAGCCCTGAGAACCCCTTGCAGACTCCCAGGACAAGGCTCTGCCCAGCTCTGCCAGCTGGCTCAATGTCACCTCTGTAATAGGTCCTGAGAGAGTGCCAAGAGGTCCTCGGCACACTAGCAGGGGCCTCTGGGCACATGACCTTGGAGATAAAACCTCGCCGCCCCCACACACACACAAATGTGGCCCCTGGGAGAGCCGGGTGAGTGGAGTGGCCAGGTGACCAGGGTCTGGGATACCTGGGTCTATTGGCCACACTGGGTCTAGGGAAAGGGAGAACCTTGGAGCCGCAAGAACCGAGGAGCCCACTGGTTCATCCCAGGGGGCCGTGGGCTCCACCTGTGATGCAGATGGGGACAGGACTGTGACAACTGCTCACACTGTGACAGTGCACGTGAACTGTGACCCGGGGGAGTGCAGGCTGAGAGCGGGCCTACGTCACTTAGGAAGGACCACGTCCAGGTCCACACACCAGGACCATGACAGCCTGAGAGGGACCATGTGACTGATCTCCTGGTGTAGTTGAAGCAGGAGGCTGTGACCTGCAGACCCTGGAACACAGCGCAGTGGACAGGCCACCTCTGGGTCCACCTTTGTGGTCATTTCATGTGTTAACTTGGCTAGACTGTGTTTCCCAGTCCTCTGGCCAAACACTCCTCTAGTTGCCTAGTTGCTGTTCTAGAACGTATACAATGTAATCACTTTCAATCGTTGCTCTATGGGTTTGCTTATTCTGAATATATGCTATAAATGGAGTCATGCACCATGTGGCCTTTGGTGTCTGGCTTATTTAACTTAGCAGAATGTGCCTGAAAAACAAAAGGAGCTCTGGTGGCATAGTGGTTATCCGTTTGGCTGCAATCTGAAAGGTTAGCAGTTCAAACCCACCAGTCTCTCCACAGGAAAATGACAGAGTTTTCTACTCCCATTGAGAGTCACCGTCTCAGAAACTCACAGGGGCAGTTCTACCCTGTCCTACAGCCGCATGGACTGGATGGCTGGAGACACAGAGAGGATACATGCTTATTGGAGACCCGACGCATGGCCTTCCTGTTACAGACGCACTGAAGCACTACGTCAATCAGCTTCAGAAGTTTCCTCATGCAACTTGCCATCAATGTTCCCCACCCCCCACCCCATCCTTGTCCTTGTCCACTACTGATTAGTGGGAAGTTTCCAGAGCATTAAACACAGACTCCCGCAGCACACTCTTCCATGGGGAGCCCTATTTTTATTCACATGCCCCAAGTTTTCTGAGAGTCCTCTAGGCGGCATCATGTATATCGCTACTTTGTCCCTTCTCTTTGAGGGCTCTGGGGATCCACACCTGGTTTATACCCCTCCCCCTGCTTTGGTACCATTGCCATGGGGATGGGCTGAGTCTCACCAACAAAGGTTCACGCACAAGCCCTCCCCTGAGCTCAGGGCTTCCTTTCTCCTGAGTGACTATCCAGGGATGGACTGGCTGGGTTGGCATGGTGAGCACGGCCGGATTACTTTGCAAAGCGGTGGCAGCATCGCTTAATAAGTGAGCGGTCCTGGTCCCTCCGTGCCCTCCCCAACATTTGGTGTGGCTGGTCTGTTTTCACCAGTCACACGTGTGGGGGGGCATCAGGCAGGTTAATTTGCATCCTCTTTCCCTTTTAAATCGTCACTGCACTTGGCTCCTGGACACGCCGCACAGCCCGTCCTGTGCCAGTCCATGGACTGGTGTGAGGAACACTGACTCGTAGCAGCTCCAGGTGTGTCTGATCCCCTGGGCTGTGTGGGGTGAGCAGCGGCTTTCTGGGAAGGGGGCCCATTTAAGGGCCTCAGTTTGGCTGGAGGTGAAGTGGCTGAGACTGAGAGGACGCAGTCAGAGGGCCTATGGCTGTGGAGAGGCAGGCATGGGGCTGCGGAAAAGAAAAACATCTTGTTACAACTCCAGGTGTGGGCTCTCTAGTAACTCGCTTTTATTGTCTTCTGCCAAATGATGCATCTTCAACGGAGTGGGAAAGTCAGAAACAAAATCATGTCCCCAGACAGTGTGTGTGTGTGTGGGTGTGTGTGTGTGTGTGCGCGCCTGTGCACCCCTGGAATGCGTTCACTCCCAGTGGCCACTTCAAAAACCTGCCACCCCAACACTCTGCACAGAGCTCCAGTGACATGGCTAATTCACCTTGTAAACTCACTGCCCAGACCCCTGGTTCTGGATTTTAGGTCCGCGCTGTGCTGTCCGCCGCTGCAGTCCCGCCCTTCCAAGCCTTCCTCCCGGTCAGCGCTCACCGAGAAGCTCTGTGGCCGCCAACCCACCCGCGCGCGCCTCCGCCCGGCCTCCCTCCCACGCCTCTTGGGCTGCCCTTTCTCCCAGCTCACGCCCAGCCCCCTGCGAGAGTACTCTAGCCCACCCGCACCCCACCCCGTGTCATCACGGCCCCGTGATGCCCGCCCCTCAGTTACTCACAGTAACACCCTGTCCCGTGTCCCCCCCCCCGCCGCCTCCACTGTCTGGGGCAGGGGGTGTCTCAGGCCCAGCCGCGCAGGCCCAGCGCACCTCGGGGCTTTCTTTGCGCCCCCACGCCCACCCCGCTCTCCCCTCTGAAGCCTTCGGTCCTCGAAGGCCTGCGCTCCCACCGCCTTCCCTGCAGTCCACAGTGCACGGCTCGGGGGCACCGCAGCGCCCCGCTAAGGCCGCCTTGCACACACCACCTCGGGCTGCCCTCGCGCGGCCCCTTTCCAGAAAGCGCCGGCCCTCACGCTCTGCAATTGGAACGACCCCTGGAAATCGGGAGCACGCCAGGCTCACGGGCGCCAGGCCTGCGGTGGGGACCTGCGCTGCGAGGGCGCCAGAACATGCAGCCTGCGTGCGCGGAGATCTAGGGCCTCGGCTCCAAGGGCGCGCGCAGAGCCCGGGGTCCGGCGGAGCCGCAGGGGGCTGCCCACGGCTCCCGGGACCGCCGGTGGGAGCTGCGGGCACCTGCTCCGTGGGTCCGGCAGGCTGGGGGGAAATTGGAGGTGTTAGGACAACGCTGGCTCCGGACCTCGCCCGCCGCGGCCCCACGGGATTCCAGGGCTGCCTCGGGGACACGCCTGGACCCTGGCCCGCCTGGGCGGAGCTTGGCCCGGCCCGTCCCTCCCTGGGAGCGCAGGCGCGGCATCGGTTCCCAAGGCAACTGGAAAACAGCTGCCGCCGAGCAGGGTCTGAGTGGGCAGCGGCATGTGCGCGGCGGAGGTGGATGCGCACGTCGCGCAGAGATACCAGCTCAAGCGTCGGCTCGGAAAGGGGGTGAGCGCCGGGGCTCGGGAGTCCAGCTTGGGGCGCACGCCCAGCGTCTTCCCGCCCCTCTGGCTCCGGGAGGCAGATGGCAGTCGGGGAGCTCAGAGGACCCGGGATAAATCGATCCTGCCCCCCTGCCCGCCCCCACCGTGTCCTCGTCCCATGCCCACTGGACACCTGGGGAGGCGGGCTGTGGCCGTGGGGCACGGGAGGGGTAGGGCACTCCAAATGTGCGGACAGCAGGTGCAAGTGCTCAGGCAAGGTGGCAGAGCCCAGCCACCCCCAGGGCATGAAGGGCCCCCTGCCTTAGCTCCTGAGTGACAGTGGACTCCCGGACTTTAGAGCCTCCCAGCTCCCGTGTTTAGGAGCGATTGGTAGGGGATGTGGTGGGGGTGATAGCCGGCAGGGGCCGGCTTCTAGGCAAACTGCAGAGAGCCTTCAGGATCTGCTGCAGCTTAAACCTCCCTCCCAGACCTTCCTGTCTGCGACCTCATCTCGTCCCTGGGCCCCTGCCCACCCCCAGGGTCTCCCCCAAACCCCCATGGTCTCCCATCCAAGGTCCTTGTAGTCTCCAAGAGTCTCTCTCCTTGTGCTCTCTGAAGCTCCCTAGAGTCTCCCTCTGACCCCCTTGAAGTTCCCGCAGTTTTCTTCCAGGGGCCCTGCAGACACCCCCCTCCTTGCATCCCCCACATCTTTCTTAAACCCTCCGTTGACCTCATCACCCACCTGATGAAGCTGCCAAGCCCTTGGCAGCAGACAGGGCACCCTGCATTGTAGAGTGGGGTCCTAGCCGCTCACTACAGCTCTGCACAGCGCCCCTCCTGGGGCCCAGAGTCCGGAAGGGCCCTGGGAGCAGGCAGGAGGCCAGCTTCTGCCCACCAGACCGACTCTATCCCCAGGCCTACGGCATGGTGTGGAAGGCAGTGGACAGGACAAGTGGGGAGGTGGTGGCCATCAAGAAGATCTTTGATGCCTTTAGAGATGACACGGATGCCCAGGTGGGGAGAGTGGGCGAGGCATGGCCCCTTCTCTCTGGAAGCCCAGGTGTGAGGCCCATCACAGCTCCTCCCAGGACTTTCCCCTGCCTTCCCCACTCCATGACCCCTGTGCACCTCAGGGGCTCCCCCCCCCAGTGTCTGGGGGCCTTGGGCGGGGCCTTCTGGACCCTGCTTCCGCCAGTTCCGTTGCAGCTTGTTTCTGTCCTGTTCCAGAGGACCTTCCGGGAGATCCTGCTCCTCCAGGTACGTCCCTCCCCAAAGGCAGGCTCCCTGGGTTGGGGGAGGGGGGCTCCGTGACTGGTGTGTACCCTCCTCCAGGTATGCGTGTCTCTTTCCAGGGGTAGGTTCTTCCAATAAGGGAGGGGATCAGGGCCCAGGGTAAGCTCTTGATGGGTGGGGGGGATCCCCTTGGTACTCAGGGTGTACCCCTCCAGCAGCTCCTTCCATGCTTCTCCTCCCAGGAATTTAGGGACCATCCCAACATCATCCGTCTCCTGGATGTGATCCAGGCAGAGAACGACAGGGATATCTACCTGGTCTTCGAGGCTATGGGTGAGTGACCATGCCATGTGAAGATCAGCCCCTGGTGTACCTCTGTCCTGCCCAGGGCTCCCCAGGTGCCCATAACAGGACTCATGGGCAGCACGCTCCTCCTGTGACCCTTCACCACCAGGGTTCCCTGGCCTGGGTGTGTGTGGGGGAGCAGTGTCCCTGTACCCAGTGTCTCCGTTTGGGAACCAGGGGCTGCCAGATAGTCTGCTCTGGACTGGGCTCCTCCGACTGCCCTGGGACACTTCACCTCCCACTGGCTTCTAGGAGCCACGGGCAGCATGCGACCAGGGTGGGGGGGTCAGTCCCTGAGTCTTTTCTGTTTCTACAGAGTCATGAGCAGGGCTGCAGGGTTGAGTGGGCTGGCCAGGGGCCACACTTGGACTCATAGTGCCTCCCCGTGCCCCAGACTCATCTGCACCCCTCCCAGCCCCTCTCCTCGACACCTCCCCAGACTCACCTGCCCTTCCTGCAGACACAGATCTGAATGCGGTTATCCGCAAGGGCAAACTGCTGCAGGACACCCACCAGCGCTACATCTTCTACCAGCTCCTCAGGGCCACCAGGTTCATCCACTCGGGCAACGTAGTCCACCGGGACCAAAAGGTGCAGCCCCCAGCACAGCCATCCCTGCCCCTTGTCTCCCCCAGCACAGCCATCCCTGCCCCTTGTCTCCCCCAGCACGGCCAGCCCTGTCACATGTCTCTCCCAGCACAGCCATCCCTGCCCCTTGTCTACCCCAGCACGGCCAGCCCTGTCCCGCATCTCCCTCAACATAGCCACCACTTGCTGGCCTGCGGTCCCACCCCCAGCTCCCATCCCACCTCTCCCCCAGCCATCCAATGTTCTCTTGAACGCCAACTGCCTGGTGAAGCTCTGTGACTTTGGCCTGGCCCGCTCGCTCAGCCAGCTCCCGGAGGGGCCCGAGGCCCAGGCCCTGACAACATACGTGGCCACACGCTGGTACCGGGCCCCGGAGGTGCTGCTGTCATCCTCCAGGTAATAGTGAGAAATGCCCCCCCACCCCCATAGCAGAGCCCCCAGGGTGTGGCCTCCTCTGCCTGGGAGTCCCCCAGGCCATGTCCCCTTGTCACCACCCCTCTCCCAGGTACAGCCCTGGCCTGGACATGTGGAGTCTGGGCTGCATCCTGGCGGAAATGCTGGGGGGCCGGCCGCTGTTCCCTGGCTCGTCCACTCTCCACCAGCTGGAGCTCATCCTGCAAAGTGTGCCTGTGCCCTCGGAGTGTGGTGAGCGGGCTCCAGGGTCCTGGTGCCACTGGCTGCCCGAGCTGTGGGGACACAGATCTGGCTGGGGCTGCACAGAGAGACAGGGTAGGGTCCAGAAGTCTAGGGGGCTTGGGCCTGGAGGGGGGCTGCTGGGTAGGAGTCAAGGGGAGCTGGGGTCATCCTTGGGGTGGGGGACACTCTGTGCAGGACAGGGCTGTCCCTCTGCTGTCCTGAGTGGTGGCTACAAGGTCATCACCTACAGTGAGAGGGCTCTGGACAAGGGCACGTGTGGCCTCTGGGAGGTGGACACTCCCTTCCTCTGCTTGCTTCACACCACCTGGGCGCCTGCACCCCAGACTTAGCGGCTCTTGGCTCCAGCTACAGCGCTGTGGTTCTGCACCGTCTGGGGGCACGGTGAGTGGGCAGTGAGGGGCGTGCAGAAGTACTTCCGGTCTCATCAGCGACCTGGCTGGGCCCAGGAGGCTGGAAGTCTGCGGAGGAGGTAACAGTCTTAGCTGCCCACAGGCCACGGAAGACGCTGGACGCTCTTCTGCCACCGGACATCCCCCCGGAGGCGCTGGACCTGCTTAAGCGACTCTTGGTGTTTGCTCCCCACCAGCGGTTGAGCGCAGCACAGGCCCTGCAGCATCCCTACGTGCAGAGGTGCGGCGTGCGGGCCGCAGGGCTCCGGCCAGGGCTTCCCAAGAGCGGGAAAAGGAAGGCCGGGCCGCTGTTCTCCCACGCCCACCGCGTTCACTCCACAGGTTCCACTGCCCGGCCCTCGAGTGGACCCTGGGAGCGGACGTGCAGCTCCCGGTGCATGAAGGCGAGCGGCTCTCGGCTGCAGAGTACCGCAGTCGCCTGTACCAGGTGCACTCCGCCCCCACGCCCCGTCCCTCCCCGCCTATCACCTCCGAGCGTCCCTCCCGTCCCCGCCCCTCCTCCACCCAGCACCTCTGAGCACCCTTCTGTCCCGCAGCTGATTCAGGAGTGGAGAGATCCGCAGGACCAGAAACCGGAGAGGCTGCAGTGCGCGACGCCAGGGGCAGGGTCCCGGGTTTCTGCAGTCCACCTGGGAGCTGCCCCACAGCTCTCCTGCCAGACGACCTGTGCCCCCTGCCCCAGAGGCAGGCCACTGGACAGCCCGGCCCAGGACCCCACACTCGGTGTGTGACTTTGGATACCTCCCCTCAGAGTGAGACCTATGTCCCTTCTGTGGGTCTGCCAACATGGGCGGCAGACCCCTAACCCTGGGCTGATCTGCGGGCTCCACAGCAGCCCCCATTGGAGCAGAGACCCTCCTCCAGCTTCCTCCCCCAGGAGGCCTCCAGATCGGGCACCGGCCCCTGGGGGCGTCAGAGCCCTGTGGTGCAGCCTTGTGGGTGAGTCGGGTGGGGGTTGGGAGGGCCTCTCCCACCCCCTCCTCTACCCTTCCTGAGGGCCCCCACCACATTCCAGTCCACCACTGACAAAGCCTCACCCTGCCCCAGGTGAAGCCGCAGACCAGAGGGCCGGAATCCTCTCTGACTTTGCAGGCCGCAGCTCAGGCGGCCCACCAAGCCCTGATCCGGAGGGAACGACCCCCCCGCCGTGGGACCAGGTCAACCGGAGCCCCACAGGTGAGCCCCACATGGCCTGTCCCTCCCCTCCTGGGGGCCCTCCCTTCTTGGACCTCCAACTCATGTCCAGGTCTGTGGCCTGATTCCGCAGGAGGCCCCATATGAGCCCAGACCTGGCCGTAGAATGCTCTCTGTCTCTGCCTCGCTGGGGTCCCAGGGGGCTGCAAAGGCCATGCTTGGGGGCTACTCCCAGGCCTATGGAACTGTCTGCCACTCTGCGCTGGGTCTTCTGCCTCTGCGTCCGGGGCCCCACATGTGAGCTGCCCCTCCTCCCTCCCCATGCCCCTGCCCAATTCCAGCCTGGCCCTTCCTTTCCAGGAGACCCCAGCATTCCTCTACCTGTCCCCCAATTCCACACTCCTTGGCCCTTCCCCTGTCTGTCCCTCCTCTTCCCACCCCTCCACTCCTTGTCCCTGGAGCTCTTGCCCCTCCCTTAAACCCCGCCCCTTGGTGGGCCTGAGTCTCCTAGACCCTTCCCCGTCCCTTCCGAGTGACCTTTGGTAATAAAGTCTCCCTGTCCTCCCTGCTTGTCTCCCTGCCCTTCCGTGGCCCCTGCCCTTCTCGGTGGTCTCCACACAGGCCTCCCCGCCCCCTGGGACACAGCCTCCTTCTTCTAACACCCTTCCCTGCCCATCTGGCTCCAATCACTGAGGGGGCCTGCAAAGCAGGCTTGGAGCAGCTTTCTGTCCATCTTGGGGTAGCCCTGCTAGCTCCCTTCACTAAGCACAAAACCCCATGGGTCCTCAGGGGGGCAGGGACAGGTGTGTATGTGACCTGACCCTGAGCCAGAGGAAAGGAAGAGTAAGGGTGGGGAAGCCCCCTTCTAGTGTGTGCCCAGGAGCACGGTCCCTGTCAGAACCCCAGCTTCTGCCCCGCCATGTGCACCCCAACAGCAGTGTCTCAGGCCAGGGCCTGTGGGAGCACTAAGGTGGCCTGCTGTGGCTGGTGGTGGGAGGACGTCTTGTAGGAAGCCAGGGTCCCTCCTCTAAGGGCCTTGTGTGGCCTGGGGGAAAGGGGCAAGGAGATTGCTGGGGTTGGGGGCTCACACCCCACCCACACTTAGCCGGAGCCAGATTCCTGCGCTTCATGTCCCGGGTGCCCTGCCTGAGGGAGTGCCCCACGCACCAAGTGTGTCCTGGGCTGCAGGGGGCTGACTGCTGCCGGGGTGGGAGGGGCGAGGTGTAGTGAAGGGAGCTGGTGGTCCCTGGGGCAGGACTGTATGGGGGAAGGGCAGACAGGGAACGCCCAGAAACCTGGGAGAGAGGTGGGGGTGCCAAATGGGCCATGCCTGACCAGGGAGGTGAGTGGGCTGGGTGGTTGCTGAGGGGCTGTGGTGGGCAGGCAGTCTGTGGCGCTCAGGGAGCCTGAGGTACAGTGGGGTGGGGACAAGCCAGAGGGGCCAGAACATCTGTGGAAGGCCACAGGTGAGGGAAGCTCTGTGCACAGATGGTCCGAGGGGCTTTGGCACTGGGGGACCTGGGCTGGGGCCAGTAGATGGTGAGGAAGGGAAAGAAGAGCAGGGGGGCCTGAGGGGTCAGAAGATGCCAGCAGAGGGGCCGGAGATGGGTGTCCACCGGGACCCTGGGGCGCCCGCAGTGACGGGCACGCACATTGTGAGATACCACTGAGATGGAGTGTGTACTCCGTGTGTCCTCAGAATGGGCTGTGCGCTACTGCTCTCCCCAGTGTAAAGTCCCCTTGGGGTGTCCCCAGGAGATGCAGGGGGAAGCCACCTGCCCCTCTGCCCTCCCCTAGTGGCCCTGGCCACACCTTCCCCAAGGCCAGGCTTGGAGGTTCAAGTGCTGACATGGGCAGCAGGCTAGAACTGCTCCAGCTCCCTGGACCCTGGTGAACCCCCCCCCCACCCCACCCCCGTCCCTGCTTTCACCGCCCCCCTAGCCAGCAGCTCTGGAAGCTGACAGTGCGGCCGCTGCCTGGTGCTCCAAGCCCCTTTCACGAAAGCGACCAATCCAAAGAGCAGAAGTGAGCCACCCCCTCAGAGTGGATGCCGACGTGGACATCCGCTGCACAGTCGCACGGCACCCCTCGGGATACGGGCTGGGCCGGCACTGAGAACCCACAGGCCTCCCAGGGAGACAGTGGGGCTGTGTACTCCCACCAAGGTGGAACTACTCGGGACGCTCAGGGGCAGTCCTTCCAGGTCGCTGTGAGTCAGTGTTGGCTCCATGGCGGTGGGTGGGGCCTAGCACCCATGCTAGGAAACCCTGGTGGTGCAGAGGGTGGCTATGCATGGGCGCTAACCAAAAGCTTGGTGAGCTATCGAAAAACAGCCTCTGAAAACCCTGGTGGGGAGGGAGTGGCACGCTGAACTCTGAGCCTGTGAGGTCACCAGGAGTGAGGGTCAATCAGAGGCAGACAGGGACACTGGGACACCCCCCACCCTGGGACATTTTTGTGTCTGGTACCAAGATGTCTTGCTTCAAGTGAAGTAAAACAAGATTCAAGAGGAGGGGCCAGCCTGCCTGGACAGTCCCTGCATGTCAGTGACTGAATCAAAGGAAACCAACACTATGGGTGGAACTGGGTCTGCCAAGGCTGGGGGATAGGGGGGCATGTTGTCCACAGCCTTCCCTGGCCCAGGACCTCAGCCTTTGGGGGCCAGGCTGGCTGGTGGGGTGTCCCCAGGCAAGTAAGTGCTGGTGCGTGGTACAGGATAGTTCACAAGGCTGGGTTGTGTCCTATGTCCAGACTGGATTTTATTGTGTGGCCAAGTCTGCTGCCCCCAACCGAGGGCCACATCCTCGCTGTGCCTAGTTGGAGGAGCAGGCCCCTCCTCGGGGCGGTCCCTCGGGGATCTCTGTGGCGCGCCCTCCTGGCGATGGCCCCCAAGGACATCCTTTGGGTCTGCAGCCAGCCCTCCCTTCCAGAGGCCCCCAGAGGCGGAGTCCCAGCAGGGGAGGAAGAAAGGCAGGTCTGGAAAGAGACAGAGAGGAAGGGAGGGAGAGAGAGAGTGGTCAGGGGACAGTGCAGTCAGGAGCCCATGGGGAGAGAAGCTGGAGATCACACAAGACCTGAGAGTGAGGATTGGAACAGAAGCCCCAACAGGCCTGGGACCAGAAACCCAGAGAGATTGAGGATGCAGGGTGGGGGTGTGTGTCCAGGAGGAGCGAGCCACCAGCCCACCCCGACTGCTTGCACTTAGGCCCAGGTCTCAACCCAGCAGGTAGCCTGAGTGGTGGGTGGCAGTGGTTTGCCTGGTGTGGGCTGGGGCCTCACTTCTTGCCCTTGAAAGTGCCCAGGAACTTGGGCATGAACTTGCCCACCTTGCTGTCCCTCGTGTCCTCCTCGGCGGGGCCCTCTCCGGCGCTTGGCCCGCCAGCCTCCTCCTTTTTGCAGAAGACCTCGAAGCGGCTGTACACGCGCTTCTCTTTGCGCATGCTCTCCATGCGCCGCAACAGCCGGTCGCGCTCCTCTGCGCTAGCAGGCAACGTGCGGCTCAGGCGGCTTTGCGTCCCAAGGCTGTCGGAGCGGAAGATGGCCGAACACTTATCCTTATCGGACATGTCAGGGGCCAGGCCGCCAGTGGCTGGAGGGCGGCCCAGCTCGGGACTGCTGTGGGCCAGGCTGGGGCCGGGCGCCGGCGCCCCGCGGAGCTTCTGGCCGTGCGCGCTGATCTGCTCCAAAATGACCTTGGTGTCGTCCCGCAGGTTGCTGCTGTACAAGGCGTTGGCCGTGGCGGAGGCCACGCGGATCCCCCGGGGGATCCGCTCCTCGGCGGCCTCGGTGCTGTCGCCTCGGCCCAGCGATGGTCGCCGGGGGCTCTCGGGCTGCCCGTTCTCCTGAGGCGCTGCAAAGCTGCCTTCTTCATCGGGCCGCCGCTCACCCTTGGGGCTCAGCAGCTGCCGAAGGCGCAGGGACCCCTTGCGCAGGACCTCCATAGGACCTCCCGCTGACTCTTCCAAGGGCCCTGCTTTCGGAGACTCCCCGGCCAAGGCAAGGGTGAGGCTGCTCCTACGCTCGGGCACCGGCGGCACAGGGCTGCCCCTGCGTTCGGGCACCGGGGGCACGGGGCTGCCCCTACGCTCGGGCATGGGGGGCACGGGGCTGCCCCTGCGCTCTGGGTAGGCAGAAGTGGGGCTCCCTTTCCGCTCTGTGGGTCCTGGTGTGGGACTGCCCTTGCGAGGTGGGAATCCAGGCGTGGGACTCCCCCTGCGCTCCGGGTAAGGCGCGGTTGGGTTCCCTTTCGGCTCTCCATGGGGCACGTGGTGGGCTCTGGGCCCGTCTGGCGGGGGGCTGTCCCGCCCCTGAGGCGAGCCTGCCCGGCCCTGGGCTGAGACGAAGCGGGAGGGCAATCGGTCGGCGTCGCTCCGGCCCAGCGTGTTGAGCAGCTGCGCAGCGGTGAGCGTGGCAGCCCCGGGCTGCCGCTCGGCCTCCTGGTGCAGCCGCTGCGCGAAAGAGTCGCGCAGGTCAAGCAGGCAGCTCTCTAGGCTGCGGCGTTCGCCCCCCGCGCCTCCTGGCGCTGCTACCTCCTCCTTCCACGCCTGGGACACCACCGCCTTGCTGTGGCTGGCCATGGTGACGGCGCCGCCGCCCGGATCCCGGGCGGGGCCCTTGTACTTCTCCAGGAGCTCGGCCACCTTGGCAGAGGCGGTGGAGCGCACAGCCTCGCCGCCCGGGCCCAGCGTCTCGCTGACCGTCTGCTGCTTGTGCAGCAGCTGCACCCGTTCCGTGGTGGCGGCGGTGGCTGCGCACCCCCCGCCCGCGCTTTCTGCCTGCGTCGCGCTGAAGATCAGAGAGGAGCGCAGCCGCGAGCTGCGCTGAATCAGCGGGTTCAGGCGCGAGCGGAACGAGTCCTGCTTGACGAGGCCGGACTCCTCCGGACTCTCGCGCTCGGAGCTGTCCCCGCCACCGGAGCTTGGCCCCAGACCCTGGGCTGGGAAGGCCATGGGGCCGCGGTAGGCCGAAGGGAGCAGGTCTCCCGCGGCCCCGCGGCCCATCACGTCATCGTCATAGCTCTCGGCCTCCATGGGCGCAGGCAGGCCCTCGTCGCCTGCATCCTCGCCGTGGGAGCCGCTCAGGTATGAGGCTAGGCGCCAGTTTCGCAGGCCGGCCCGGCCCTCGGGACCGCCCCGACGGTCTGGCTCCTCCTCGGGCGCCGCCTCCGGGCCGAACCTGGCCATAGCCTGGCACGGGAAGCGCTGGCCCAGGTTGGGGCGGAGGGGCCCTGGGGGTTCCAGGCCGCGCGGTCCCGCCTCGAAGGCGGGGTCCGAGCCGTAGCGCACCTCGCGCGAGGCGCTAGATGGCACATAGTCCAGGCGCAGGTGGCCTTCAGGCCCCAGCTCAGGGTAGCGCGGCCCGCCGCCCAGCGCGAAGTCGTCGGGCTCGGGGAAGCCCTGGCGGCCGCCGCGCAGCTTCTCGAAGAGGCCCTGGGGGCGCGCGGGCGCGAGCTGCGGGTCCCACTGGTAGTGCTGCTGGTAGAGCTGGTCGCGGTGGAAGTGGCTGGTCTGGAAGCGGAAGTCGTCGCCGTGGCTTAGGAGGGTCTGGCGCGACACCTGCCGCGCCGCCGCGAAGTTCTCCACGGCGCCCGCGCCATCGGCCGCCGCCGCGTAGCTGTGACGCTTGTAGGCGTTCATCTCCAGGTGCCGTGCCTGCATGAAGCCGCGCGGCCCCGCCAGCTCCCCGCCAAGCCCGGCCTCGCCGTCCAGCCGCCGCGGCAGCGGCCGCATCCCCATGCCCGCGTGTGGCTCCAGGACGCCCCCGGGCCCCCGCGGCGGCTCCTCGCGGCGGAAGGCCGACAGGAAGTGCCGGTCTGGGTCGAGGAAAGAGGGGAAGCCCAGGCCTTCATCCCGCGGCGGCTGGAACAGCAGGTGTGCACGTTTGGGGAAAGAGAACGGGGTCATCGCCCCGGGCCCCGGGGCCCCCACGAGCGGCCCCGCGCCCGTGTATGGAGCCAGAGCATAGGCGTCCATGCGGGCCAGCGCCCCGGCCGAGGGCACCAGCGGCTCCGACTGGGCAAAAAGGATGCGGAACTCCTCGTCGAAGCTGGACACCAGCTCTCCCTGGAACACGTGCGCAAGGCTGCGGTGGATCTTCTCGAAGGACCACATGAAGCTGGGGGAGGCGGGTAGTCAGGGAGGGGGCGGGGCTTGGGGTGGAGCTTCAGTATTGTTGGGGGTGGGGTTCAGAGGCGGGTGGGTGGGGCTGAGGACCCGGGCTGGGGCGCGCACCTGTAGTTCCCGCTCATCACCACAGCGCAGTCCACCAATAGGAACTTCTCCTTCACGTGGCCCTTGAAGGACTTGCCGGTGCGGCAGTAGTAGGTGGGGCCGGCCACGGTGCGCACGCGCAGGAACTGAGGGAGGGAGCAGCATGGGTCAGTCTCTGCCGAGGGGACTCTTCGCCCACCCCGTGGTCACTCACATCGACGTGGTGCAGGTTGACGCGGCACTTGTCCGCCATGTCCAGGAAATGCTGTGCGTTCATCTCGTCCAGCAGGATGTACACGGGGACGCGGCGCGCTGCCGCTTCCAGCACCTCACTCAGCAGGTCCACATCGGTGAACATATCCATGACCACAGCCACCACCTGTGAGGGCGCCCAAGATGAAGGCCAGGCGCCCCTGCGACCCCCAGCCCCACCTTCCCACCCTGGTGCCTCTGGAGCACCAGTAAACACCGTCTGAGGTCTCAGGGCTAAGGGGCTGCTGACAGGATAGGCCCTGCCTCCTAGGGGGTGCCCCCAGGTTGGGAGGGAGTCTGGCTAGGGGGAGACCCCTGTGGTCCTCTGGCCATGTGGCAGACTGAGCAGAGGCAGTGGCACCCCATCCTCCAGTTGAATGCGCTCTTAACCCTAACAATGAACCTGGCTAAGGGGACCCCAGCCCCCAGACTCCCTGCTGCAGCCATGGGCTGTGGCTGTGGCTGAGCCCCCTGGGCTTGAACCCAAAGCCCCCCTCCCCCCCAAGCTGGCCATCCTCTGGTGCTTCGCCAGGCCCTCTTGCAGCTGGCCACATCAGGGCTGCCCACCTGCTGGGCAGAGCGGATCATCCTGCGAGCCTCATCCTTGATGCTGGGGCTGTCTGGGGGTGGGGGCTGCACGAGGGTGGTGACCTCAGTGCCCTGGAAGCCAAAGGTCAGGGGCCAGCCCAGATCCAGCTCAGGCACGGCCTGGTCTGAGTTCACAGGCCAGTAGGTGCCTGAGGAGCCGTCCATGTCCATGTCCATGTCGGGTGGGCTGCCTTCGGGGGGCTCCCGGGCAGCATGCTGCGGGGGCCTCAGGTGGCGACTGACATGCTCCAGCTCCTCAGGGCACAGGAAGGCAGGAGCCCCCTCTGTCGCCAGGAAGTGGCTATAGGCCTCTGTCCCGCCCTCAGCCAGGGCATCCACGGCCAGCCGGTAGTACTCCTTGTAGTGAGGGGGTAGGTACCCAGGGGCCAGCGGGTTGTCCCCCTGAGAGGAGCTCTGGGATCGGCGGGCCATGTTTCTGCAGGGGACCTGTGGGAGGGGGTAGGGAGGTACATCACCCAGAGCAGAGACACACACTAAGGAGGGGACCTTGGAGTACAGCCCAGCCTGGCCTACAGGGCTGACACCCCAGGCCTGTGTGGGTCCCGCTGGGGAGGAGACACCTGGGCACAGCATGGAGTCCCTGTTTCAGCCCAGGGGCCTAGGGCTGACTTCACTCCCAGCTCAGGTAGGGCCTTGGCTCCTCCCCACAAAAGGCCTGTTACCAAGGAGCTGCTTCTGACTCACAGGCATCCCGAAAGTGGACAGAGCAGCCTTCCCGGAAGGAGCCTGGAGGCACAGAGGTGTGTGAAACAGACTGGCTGATCCTAGGGCCACAGCTGTGTGCTTCTGGGAAGACTGGCAGCTTTGGAGACCCTGTGGGGCAGCTCTGCCCGGTCCTGCGGGAGCCCCATGAGTTGGACTCTAGGGAGTGGACAGCCAGGCCTTCCTTCTGTGGCACTGCCGGGTGGGTCTGAGCAAACCATGGTGTCCCAGGAGCCCATCCATCCCACTCTCCATTCTTGACCACTTTCGACTTCAGTGGTCCTGTATGTGGGGAAGGAGTTGCTCTATGAACTTATACCTCCGTTAAAACACTCTCCAAACACGAAACGCTGTGTGACCGTTGGTGTGAGGACGAATATAACCCAGGCAGCTGGCATCATACCCACTTTCCCCTCCAGGTGTTAAAGGGCAGGAATGCCTTCTCATGGCCCTGCCCCCATGGTGTCACTGGCTACACCCCCTCAGGCCTGACAACCCCCCTGCAGAACCCAGCTCCCAGAATTGGCCATTGGCCATACCGAGCACAGGCATGCCCCGGGCACACAGGCTGAGATGGCTGCTATTCTCAGGATGGTGGGGGCAGCCAGCCCAGATTGGAGCGAATACCCCTAAGATGTGTTCAGGTCCTGCCCCTGTGACAGCAACCTTGCTGGAAAGAGGGTCTTTGAAGATATCATCCGTTACCATGAGGTCACATGGGAATGTGTGTGTGACCATCTGAGTGGGGTCTCCTGAGAGACAGAGGGGGACGGCCACATGAATAGGGAGGCAGGGCTCTTGCTGCTGCACTGGGGCCATCACAGACCAGGATCCCCCATGTGGGCCCCCAGGGTAGGGTGCAGGGAGGCCCCTGAACCTGGCCCCCTGCCTCCAGGGCCACACATCCATGTCTGCTCTTAGAAGGGCCCACCTTGGGTACTGTGGGTCTGTAGCTCCTGGGCACACAGGCCTCCATCTCATGCCCCCTTAAGTTGCAGCCCATCTTGGGCTGTCATCACCTTCCTAGACCTAGGCTGCAGACTATCCCCATCAGGCCCCTCCACATGGCAGTGAAGACCACCCCCCATGTCCTTGGGGCCACCTCCCTTACCTTTTGCATGCATCACGCCCTGCCTGCTAGCCATGGGCCCACCTGGATACCTATCTGCCTCCTGCCCCATGTCCACTGCACCCCATCATGGCACTTGAGTGCATCCTGCCTGCACTGAGGCCTAGAGTTGGCCCTGTCTGGGGGGTGGCCTTGCTGGCTGTCCCTGCCCCCAACAACAGGGCTCTCTGATCAGGCAGGGTGGGCATTGGCCAACTAGGCAGCACTGGGCCAGGATACAGTTGCCTGCCAACATGGGACCATGCCTTGCTGAGGGTAGGGGTGCTACCTGCTCCCAATGTGCTATCCAACCGCATGTGGGCCCCACTGCCTGTTCCTAGGGAGAGTGTGTCATCAGGGACCAGTCTGAAGCTGACCATACGGGTGAGTGGTCACGTCACTAGGGCTGGCCAAGTGGGAGACAGGCCTGCAGTGTCTGTACTGGAGCCTCAGCATGGGACTTTGGGGATGGGCTGCTGGAAACACTGGAGTCTGACTGCCCATTCTTAGGTAGAAGACATGGCAGAGGGCACTGCCAGCTGACTATGTGAGGGGCACACTTCACCCTCGGGGAGGGTACTGCCCCATTTGATATCCCTGGGCAGAGCCAAGCTTCAAGTTGAAGGGTCCCCCAGGACTTGGGTATCATTGTGGGTGAGAGGCCTCCCCCACAACACTTGACCTTCAGTGAGGGAGGCGTTTCCAAACTTCATCCCCAGACATGAGATTTCTTGTTCCTCTCTGCCCCCCCACCCCACCCACTTCCCTGCTCCCATGCCCAGCCCACACATTTGCCTACTGCAGGACAGATGGCACAGAGGGAGGGGCCTGATCCCACCTAGTCCAGTGACTCAGCAGGAACCTGCACCTCTGCCATTGACTTCTGACCTGAAGTCTGACAGACCACGGGGACCGTCACTGTCCACCCCCCAGGAAGTAGGCCTTCGAGTGGCTGGAAGGGGGACTGGGAGTTGGCCAAATGCTCAAAGGGGCAGCACTGTGCCAAGTAGGGCAGGGCATGGTGAAAGGCTGTGGGGGTGAGGGGCGGAGTGTCAGGCAGGGAGGTGGGTTCGACACGATGGGACTTCCAACCGGAAGTTGGAAGCAGAGGGGTGAACAGGCTAGCAGACCCCAGGAAGTTAGCGGCTGACCATGGGTGTGGGCCGTGGGCCATGGGGGTGGGCCTCCCTTGTGCCTCCGTTCCACAGCCCTTCCGTGGCCAGGGCAGGTGTTCCCAGGGAAGGTGGGGCAGTGCTCGGCATCCCCACCCCAGACTCCAGCTAGGCCGCTTGGGCCTTGCCAGCCTCCTGATCCCCGTCCCCTTCTCCTAGGTGCTGGGGGGGCGAGGGTGGGGCCGGGCAAAGTCGCCAGATCACGCCGCACATGCGACTGATGCCCCCCACTCGGGCTCACGGCTCACCCCACGCACGCGGCCGCGCTCGACTCCCGCCGGCTCCGGGTCACCGCCCGGACACGGGCGACAGGGCGGCCAGGGGTGCGAGGCAGGAGGGTGGCCAGGGACGACGGCGGTGGGGGTGCAGGGGCGTCGGAGGGGCAAAGGGGAGCTCAGGGCCGCCCGCCCACCTACCTACCCGCCCTGTCGGCCAGCTTCAGTTTCCCCCTCGGGCGACGTCCCGTCCGGCTGCGGGTGGGGTCCCTACCTGGCCAGGTGCGCGGGGTCTCGGCAGAGGGGCAGCAGGAGCCCACCGCCGCCCAGC